TGAAGCAGATAATCTTTCTAAAGCATTAAGTAGATACTAGTTTTCAGATTAAGGGAAAATAAGATAAAAACAGATTATATCGATAGTTGATGGTCGTGTTTGGAAAATCATAAATCGCACGAATTACAAAACTTGTTTTCTATGATAATTATTTTACAGAAATTTTTTTAAATACCTTTTCTTTTACCATTTATTCTAGTTTTAACGAAATTATGGTTTCCAATACGCTTAAATACGGCACTTTAGATATTGAAGAATAAATAAAGCTTTAGTCGGTGTGAGGGAGCGTCAGAGATGATTTGCGTTTCATCATCTCTCCTGAACAGAACAGACTCAATATAAAACTGTACATGCAAGGTTCATTTTCAGTTTTGTTTCATTGCTCTTAAATGATTTTTGTATTACATGCAAACTTGTTTTATTGTTATTATATCCTATAAATAAGAGTATATTTGTGTAGAAATATTTCATTCTGTATTAAGATTGGGGGATATTTCTGAATAATAAATAACTGTTTTTAGTGCATGTACCAAAAAGGCTATTGACAAACTGCAATTGTTAACTGTATGAAAAATAAATTAATTTTGTATACATTTGAAAAAAATATTTTTCTAAAAGAGTCTTTTAAGCCACTGTTAAGTAATATGCGGGAACATTTTGAGTATCATTTTTTGTTTGTTTTGTATACAAACCATGCAATAACAAGCTAAACATTAAATCTCCAGTAAAATCAACTATATATGACTTTTAGTAATAAAATTCAATGTTATCCCTTAAAAGAAAACAATATTCTTGAAACACTGATAATGTAAATAGCCACTGTATATCATTGCCACTGACCGAAAACAATTTAATACAAAATTTTTCCAAAGAATTGCGCTCCGGTGACATGGCAATATGAACAATATTTATGCTATATATGACAGCTGTCAATTGTTGTTAAATTAACTGTTAAGAGTTTTATCAAAGTAGAACATTCATATCGTGTTAAGCAACTACTTTAGATGTCATACAATCTTATCATTCCTTTATATATTCATTGATAGTCTCCAAAACCATCAAATAATGTTAAAGGCAATTTTAGAAGGAGAATTGGTGATACAGAAGTGAAATTGAATAATACACATGTTTTGTTTGTGTGATTATACTTAAAATGTCAATTTATTAATATTTATATCAATATATTAACACATTTATCGTATTTTTCAAATAAAATATGAATAAATGTAGAGAAATGTACATTATTCGAACGATTAAATAGACTCAAATCGCAAACCTAATATCACTGAGCTTGTTTTTGTAAGACTGAAAATAATATCTATAAAATTATTTGGTCCAAACATATTAAAAAATGCCGTTTTAGAAACACATGTAGAATTGATTTTTAATGTACTGAAATGATAAATTATGAAAATAAGTATTCACACTTAACATGTACAATAGTTTAAATGTCTTATGAACAAACAAGTTACGCGTGAATCGATGTATCGTCTTTTAAGTGAATTAGTAGCTCTACATTTTTCACCTTTGATAGTTATGTTTTATGCATTTCCCTGTAGCTAAAACCTAAGGAAAATGGTCTTTGAAAAAACAGTTTCTTTTTGAAAAACCCTGAAAAAAGAATATTTTGTTTTCATTTGCAAGAGATGACTATTGAAGGCTTGAAATGGTACCTACAGAGATTCATAATACAGAATCTGAATGTATTTCCATGCTACCTTTATAAACACGAATATTTATAACTCTAAGCTGATACATGTATATAAATGGCAACTACTTATCGTAAGGCAAGTTTGCCTTTTTGATTTTTTATTATCCTGTTTATTATTTCTTACACACAGAGATATATACATGTATGTGCTTTTTTAAAACTGTCATTCATCAAATACTATGGGTTACTTATTTCTTGGTATTAAACTCTGAAAAAACCGAGTATAAGACAATGGTCTTTCAGTAGAAGCCAATTTACATAAATTTCATTTAAAACAGTACACTATGCAATTTAAACATATCAATGATAACAATGCAATTTAGATACCTAGAGAATGACAGTTATGAAATGTTAAATGCATGGTATCATTTTTGCAAAAGAGAAAATAGAGTCGTTTATGACTCTATAGATTGACAATGTGTAACACACATGCGCTTTTTAAAGTCAAACCTTCAATGTAAAGGCCTTATGGCGACTTTCGATATTTCCTATTGTACGAAAACATTTTGTTCATCAAAAAAAGCAATTTACGTTTGTCCTGTGATCTTATCCTTACCAAAGTGAAAACATTGTCTTCCAACCAGGCTACGTGTTATTCTCAAATTAAAAATGAATATGTGTACATGTATATACGCATGTTTGAATGTTCAAGTTATGTCATTTTGAATTCAGGCATGAAATTGTGATAAATGATAAGTTCATTACACTTTGTGCGTTGAACCAGTCGTCAACATTTATATTTATCTTTATCATTTACGTACATCTCGTTACAGTCCATTGCGAATCATGACATATATTACTTCCTTAATTGGAAAAGGAAAGTATTTAGGAACGTTTTGTGCAGTTATGACGAGAAATCGCTTTTTATGAGGTATTTTCTTTTTAATTATGGTCGATTGCTGCTTGATAAATTGATGGATATTAATAACAATATATTAAGAGAAATATATAGAATTATAATAAAAATAACATTTTATATACCTGAAGCGGGGGCGACAATATCTTTTCAACGGCCATACCGTAATAAAACGTAATCGCGTGGGTATACGCTGCACCTTTTGAATCAGAACAGGTTTTAATTAAATGATTAAATATTTCATGGATTTGTTTATGTGCTGGAAGGTAAGTATCTAGAGGTATAACAGTATTTATCATTGAAGCAAAATTCCCTGGCAAAAGAAATATGAAGACGATCGTATTCATGAATAAACAAAATCGGCTATTTTATGTATCTCTTTGGTAAGCTTAACGACAATAATTTAGCAGTTTTCAAGGTAATTATACCACGACTATTTATCTTATAATTATCTCAAAATCCTTGAAATGAATAATGACCAGTTTCAAATTTAAATCCAGGACAAGACCTTTTAACATAATAAATCTAGCGACTGTAGGTAAATATATATACTTTTGCGGTTTGATCAATCAATACGTTTATCTTTGGCATACACTTTCAAGTAGAACTTTAAATTTATAACAGCGATTTATCCAGTCATTCCTTTTATTTTGATAAAAAAATAATATACTTCCTTACTAAGAAGTGCAAAGTAGAATTAAAAAGCTTTTGTGAATATTAAAAATGATATTTTAAAATTCTTATATTTAAATCGCACTTTTTTTTCTAAAAAAATTTGAAGAAAAAAGTATATTTTTTTAAAAATGGAAAAATTTCAATTTAAAAAAATTTCAAACAACCCCCCTAAATTTTTAAAAATTTTTTCAGTGAAAACCGGCAACCTATCGGTTTAAATTGGAAAAATTGATGTGAAAAAATGGCCCAAATGGGGAAAACGAAAATAAGAAAAAAATCTAGAAAAAATTTCACTAAAGTACTTTGTATATTATGTGAATTTCCCAAAACATGTTTTTTTTATTTTCCCCGCATGGGGAAAAAAAAAACTGTAACTTAAAAATAACCCAAATTTTAAAACCCCAGATTTTGAATTTTGCTTTTGATAAAGGGTTAACTGTCAGATGATATGATTTCTTTTTTTAAATTTTGATTTTTGTTTGGGGTTTTTTCGGGAAAACCGACACAGTAAAAGGTCAAAAAAAAGGGGAAAGTTCCAAATTTACCGGTGGAGGAAAACCTCAGGTGCCCTCCGTGCATTTTTTCAGGCAACCCACCGGGCCCCCTGGCTTTGAACCCCCAAACGAAAAAGTTCCGTAAGCTACCCCGCGGGTTTGCTTTTCCCCACATGGAAAGAAAAAAAAAGTCCCCGTGGGATTCGAAAAACAACCCGCGGTGAGGGGGCAAATGGGTTTTAAGGGGGCCCACCCCTTTAAAACACGGCCCCTGCGGCCCCCGATTGATTTCCAAAAAAATTCCCAATTTAAGGGAGGGAAATTTAAAACGCTTTATTTCTTTAGATTATGAAAGGGCAAGTGGATTAAAATAAAAAATTTTAATAATGGATTTTAAAATTTAACTATTAAAGAAAGTAGGGCCCTTAAAACGTCGTAAAGGTAGCAAAATTTTACCCAACCCAAAGTGGGATTTTTTACTTTCCATGCAAAATTTCTAAAAATTCCTAAAATTTTACCAACTACCAAATGTTTGACTGGACCATAGCCTTTGGAAATCTTAAATTTTCTGTACTATGGCAACGAGTGGACATCTCAAAATTGCCAAAATCACTATTTTTGCATTGATTTTTTCCATCAAACTATTTCAAAGTGGCAGCAACTTCTCATTGGATTGAGATAGAGTCAAAGGCTTGGGGGGATCGGGAGGGGTGCTGCTGCCCCCTTGAAACCCCTAAGCAGAAAGGGGCACATCCCACCTCTGGCACCCCTGATGAAATCTTTCTGATAGGGAATGGCGCGAAAAAGTGATCAATTTTTTAACCAAATGTCACAGTGTGGAGAAAAATGTGCAGCCTGACGCGGGATCCGAACCCTGGACCCTCGGAATGACCGTACATCGACTCTACTGACTGAGCTATCCGGCCCGCTTACACATCATCTCCCCTATATAGTGAACAGTTCTGAAAACGTGACATACTCCCATGGCTATATTGAAAAATTTGTCCTCGAATGTCACAGATTTCAGAGCAATGTGAAAAGACGTGAAAAGAAGTCTAATATGAAGTAATGGGTTCAGTAAAAAAAGGAAAAGAAAAAATAAACATAATTTTAAAATATGAAATATCGTACCATGGACAGTACTTTTTTAGCTGAAAATTTATGCTTGCAAAAAACAAAAAAAAAAAAAAAACAACAAAAAAAAACAAAAAAAAACAATTAAACCATTAGTCAATTGTTTCTATTTAAAATTGCAGAGAACTCAAAAAAGAAAAAGTTGATGGTTGCAGCTATTGATTTTGGAACCACATTTTCTGGCTGGGCTTTTTCCTTTGACCATGATTATAAATCGGATCCAACAAAAATATCCTGCAAACAGTGGTAGGTAAACAACAACAACAACAATAACATATCACTTGCGATTTTGCGACTCTTTAAAAATGGTATTGCACGGCCGTGCTATATTATGACGTGACGTCATTTGCGTTATGCAAACATAGTGTAAAGTCGCGCTAAATGTTAACGTTACATTATAGGCACGTCAAAAAAGAGATTCTTTTGCACTTTAAACACATTATGGATGTGCGATAAATAGAAAATTATATTCGTGTAGGTTCATTACTGAATTAAGTGAACTCGATGAATAAAATAATATTTTCCTCACATACTAGTAATATAATTATTATTCAATTCGTTGAATAAATTTAGTATTGAACGATACATTCATTTAATATCATCTATATATATACAATGAAACATGAGACAAGAACCATTTAACATCCCTCGATTACTATCATTTGATATGTACAATTCAGCAATTATGAAGTCTTGATATTCTTTTTGTTTTTAAACTAATTGGTGCCCCATTTATATTTACTATTGAATTTTGTAACCGATTATTTCTAGCATCTTTATTTGCACAATTTAATCACTTGATTTAAACCCTGCACTACTTAACATCGGTTGAATATTCAATCCATCACTTCCTTATTCAATCTTTAATGGTTTTCAGCAGTTTTTCATTACAGTTTTTTTTTTCATTTGAAACTTCATTTTTCACATCTCTTAGTATAATATTCCGATAGCTCAGGATGAAAAAGAAAATAAGGTTTGACATTATTTTTCTATTTCTTGTTAAAGATTGAATGCTGTTCAACCTGTTGCTTTTAGGCATTAGTGTTATTTAGCCTAATACTAGGCGTATCATGGTTAGAAAAATGCTAACCGTTTTAACGGCGACGTAATAACCGTGGTAAAACGTTTAACCGACGTATAACAAAAATCCGTAGATTTTCAAAACATTAACTTTTGTTTCTTTATGACAAGATATGCCATTTTGTTCATATTTTGAAAAGTACCCAAATGATTACATATATATCCGAATATAGAGTGACTATTTTCCCGCTAGGGTCATACCGTATTCGATCAGATTGAAAAAAAAATACATTGCTGTATACAACTAAAATACAAACAATTGTCATATCTTGTCATAAAAAACTAACGTAATATTTAGAATCAATTTAAAACTTTTCCGTTTCTTAGTCAAACATTATCGGTTATTGAATTTTCTAACCGATTTTCATGTAAAAACCGACCGTACCCATTTGAACGGATAAACGTGACACCCCTATCTAATACCATTATCCCCTACGAACAAATACAATCAAAACAGAATCTGCAATTTTTACTTAAACGTATTTACAATTGCTTTTTTGATTTTGGGATCTTCCAGTTTCCAGCAAATTATAGTATGTATGTAGATATACACATGTTTTCTCAAATTACTTTAGAATGTTCACGGTATTCTAGTTAGAACAACTGAAGACAATACTGGTATATTAGCCAATGAAAACTTTTCACCATATTTACCAAATACCATTTATGTATCACTCTCAATGATAGGAACAGTGGAAAGAATATTTCTATGAAAGCACCGACAACAGTACTGATAAAACCAAATGGACACACACTGGAAGCGTTTGGTTACGAGGCAGAGGACAGGTACGCAGATTTAGCAGACGAAGAGGAGCATAAAACATACTACTACTTCCAACGCTTCAAAATGATGCTATTTGACAACAAGGTGATGTAACAAATAGATATTTTACTTCTACCTTGATAGTGAGGATAACTATGTCAAAGTCATAGAATTGTTTGTAATAGTGAAGTGGTCAGTACTAAGAATTACATACATACTGAATGCAATAAGCCTTTTTTAAAAGGATATTAAAACATCATATCTCACTTAAGATAATCATAATTGATTCCAGATCATTACTAAACGTTAAATTGGTACTGACTGTGTTACGATCTATCATCGATAAAATCTGGTATTGGAGTTAAAAATATTTTATATTATACAACAGGTTTTACTCTCGTACATGTCGGTTGATTAATTGATATTTATATTGATTAACTTGCAGTGATAGGAGTGTATCGAAAGCACTAAAAGTGACATTTTCATGCTCATTTTTTTCATTGTCAAATTGACTTTAATTGACTAAATATTGTAATAAACTGGTTGTTATAATGGTAATTGACCAACACATGATATTTGAAATTGTTTAGGGTAAAAGATAATTCTACCTAAATATATATAAAGTCTACCCCACCCTTTTTATCAATTGAAAGCTACAGATACATTCCGACGGATAATTACACACATATTTCACAGGGTCTAGTGAATTATTTATCGTTCATGTGAAGTTAATTATAAAATTGAAAATGTTAACTTATTTTTGACTTTCGCCTGTTCACTCTATATCTACCCATGGATGAGCATAATATCACTTTAAATAACTATTTGTTTGTTTTTTGTGGTTGCTCTTATTTTCCGACTTTGCATCATTGTCTAAGTATGTATGTTGTACTTATTTATAAGGCCTATGCCATTGAAACTAATAATGTGCAAATTACTTTTATAATCAGAATACAATTTTGTAACATGTTCTGTTTAGATTCTATCGACTGTCGAAAACGGTGTCATTGTTTATACATTTTAACACTTATTTAACTTTTAAAAATGAATTAAAGTAGTAAATTTGCAGAATCTAACTAGAAATGAGGAGCTTGAAGACGACAATGGTAAACGCCTGCCGGCGAAGCGTGTTTTTTCCTTAGTGATAAGATATCTTAAAGACGATCTGCTGAAAGAATCTGAGAAAAAACTTGCTGGAGGACTTAAAGAAGAGGAAATACAGTGGGTGTTAACTGTGCCGGCAATCTGGACCCCACCAGCTAAACAATTTATGAGAGAATGTGCCATTGAAGTAAATTTTTTCCCAGAAAATGTTTTTAGCGTTTTGTAATATATTTTTGATAGTTTTTTAATCAAGTAAAATGTTTGTTTTTCTAACCTTTGTGAACAAACTTAGGTACAATAAGAAAAAATAATACTATCATCATTTAACAGCAACAAAAATGTTGTACTAATTGCAATTTTGATTTTACTTCAACAATCGGAATCATTTGTCATATAAGCATTATTGATATATGTGCTCTATTAATTGATTGTTGGTTAAAATTAAACTTTTTCTGCGCGTTTTGTTTACGATAATGAACAAGATGTTAATAATATTTTAGGCTGGTATACAGTCTCAAAATCTTTTGGTAGCCCTTGAGCCAGAGGCAGCCTCTTTATATTGTAAATACCTCACAATACAGAAAAAGAAAGATGGGAAAGCAGAGTCAGAAGTACTATCTTCATTCGAACCTGATGCGAGGTATATGGTTGTCGACGCTGGAGGTAATTATGTTTATCTATAAAACACACTGGATACATGTAAAGGATGATCCCTCGCAAGCATCAATATGAAAATGCAGACTCGCTTTCAAATTGATTGAGTCAGTCTGTACATGAGGCAAAATGAAAAATTGCAACACCTCTCATGCCCCAAGCACCGGCTTGAGGGTTACTCAATTTTCAACACTTAAAGTTTTTGGAATCAATGATCCGAAGGACCAGAAAAATATAACAACACTGACGTGAAGTAATAAGACATTTTACATTCCGTAGGCAATTATTATTTAATGTATTTTTTGTTTTACGATGATATATACAAATGTTTGATTACTAAAGGTGTTTCATGAATTCACTTTAACCCAAAACAAATCGGTTTATATTTGTTTCTCTAGATATTTATGTCTTTAGTTATTTACATGTACTTGATCATGCAATTAAAGTTGAATTTTAAATTAGCATCCACGCCACCGGCCCATACACATAAAATTTATAAACACAATAGCATATTGTCATGGCAGCTTGTTTTGATAATGGTACATTACAAAATATGCATGTTTACAAAAAGTTGTATAAAGTAGATCATGTTTTATGGAATGGTGTATATTAAGCGTTATGTTACAGCATTTTAAATTACCGTAATATTTATATGTAGGTGGAACTATTGACATCATAGTTCATGAAGTATGCACTGATGGAACATTGAGAGAGATATTTCAAGCTAATGGTGGAAACTGGGGCGGCACAACGGTTGATAAGGCTTTCATAGATTTTTTGACAGGAATTGTTGGCAAAAATGTAATGAAGAGATTCCAAGATGAACACAAAGACGATTTCCTCGACCTTCAAAGAGAGTTTGAAGTAAAGAAAAGGTCTATCAAGCCAGATCTTAAATCGAAAGTAAAACTTAAAATACCTGTGTCGTTGTCTGACATTTATAAAGATATAAACTCAAAAAGCGTAATGGAAAACATTGAGAAAGATGAGGAACTTAATGGAAAGGTGAAGTTTATGGCAGATAAGATTTTATTTGATAGCAGTCTTTTTAAAAACCTTTTTAGCTTCACAACGGATCATCTTACAGAACATTTGAAATGTATTCTTCAGGAAGAGACAACAGCAAATACCAATACAATTTTGATGGTTGGTGGTTTTTCAGAGTCCCCAATGTTATTTGAAGCAGTCAGATCTTCATTTGTTGATAAAAATGTTTTACTGCCTGACGATGCAGGTTTGTCGGTTCTAAAAGGGGCAGTTATATATGGACATGATAGAAAGGACATCAGTGTCAGGATCAGTCCATATACATACGGTTTTAAAATGTATCATTCGTATGACCCACTACAACACCCAAGAGAGAGAATGGTCATCAAAAAGGACGGTACAAAAAAAATTGGTGGTTGCTTCGGAATATTGATAAGGAAGGGTGAAAAAATGTCACCTGGTATATTTTCAAGTGGAATACCTGCAACACCCTCTTTTGGATATAATAAGTATGCTTTAAAATTATTCGCATCAAAGCGTTCTGATCCTTTATTTGTTGATGAACCTGACAGTTTTAAAGTTGGAGAATTACATGTAGACTGTACGGACAACGAGGGAAATGTCGGGGGCACTTTAGTACAGATTATGTGTGGTGGTACGGAGTTTGAAGTTCAAGTTATTCATGAAACAACACTAAAAGAGACAAAAGCTACTTTCAATTTTCTAGACTGAATGAATTTCGTCAAGACATGTATATGATATGTTGTAGTTATCTGTAGATGTAACTGAAAATGAGCTAGAAAGGAGAATGACATAGCTAACAAATATAGAAATACAAGCGTTTCAATGGTACGATAAAATTATTCCCAATTGCAAACAAGCATATGCTGCAATTAGGTACATACAACATTTCCTTGGGAATTTATAATCAATGTTTCAAGCCGTATATTTACTATTTTCTTTTGAAAACAATTCACTACTGAAAAAATAGTTTGGTCTTTTTTCTGACACTTGAACAACCGGCATTTTTTCTGGTTTTATTTTCGTGTGAATATGGATATAAAGCTCTAATCATTGTAACGACTAAATCGAAAGGAAAGATACAAACCTATTTCTGTCATACGTGTATTTTGGAAGTATTCTTTTTCTTTATTCATATAACAATTCTTGCAGCTTATATATCTTTTTAAGGCCATTATACATGTAAAATATAAATATAATTCAATTACACACAATGTTCATTAGCTCTTTGGTCAAATAATGTATTTTGATGACATTTAAAATGTTTGTTACATTTTTTGTCTTTTTGGTTTTGTTTTTAATAAATGTTAAAATTGCTTACAGATGAGGATTTATAATGAATTGCATAAAAGTTAATTCTTGAATATGACTGATTTAAAATGAATTAAAAAGACGAATTTTGGAAAGTTCAACGCTTGAAGTTTTCTAGAAAACAAATTGTTCATCCCAATTTATTTATGCTCGACATCCCTTGGCATTGTGGAAATAAACAGTGATATGAATTTTAGACTTTTATTACGCACTATATAATTTCAGTGACTTTTATAATTCATAGCTCCGTGCAAATATCTTTTGATACAGTAGTCAACAAAACGATATAATTTTCTGGTTTTCAAGATACAATGTACATTTATACCATCAATAATGACATGAAATTCAGAAAATATTTACATTAAACTAAAGTTTGATGGTTTCTCCTATTAAAGTGACATTATGCCCATCCAATGGTATAACTGAGTGAACAAGTGAATGTCAAAATAACTTTTCATTTTACCATTATTTCTTTCAATATAAAAACATTATTTCACATTAACAATAAACGACGCATGGATTCAAATGGAATTTTCGTAAATACCCGCTAGAATTTACCTGCAACGTTCATTTCGTAAAAAGAGTGGGGCAGTCTTTTTATATTATAGGCAGATTTAAATTTTACCCTAAACATTTTCCAATATGAACAGTTGGTCAATCACCATTTTAACAGCCAATCTTATTGAAATATATAGTCAGTTCAGCTTAACTTGACTATGCAAATATGAGCATAATGTCACTTTAATGAAATGATTGATATAAATATGAACAATCTTAAATATTTCCTAAAAAAATTACTATCTTATTTCTACACACCAACGCAGTTGTTTTGATATACTGTTTGTATTCACATCAGATATAAACATTTGAGTTTGATTTACTGGTTAGATATTATCTCAATTATCTGTTGTGTTTTTTAACTTAATGTATTATTCATCAGATATGTCGCTATGATTGAAAAAGGTTATGTTCTTTGCTAAAATATGACAGGTAAAACTATTTTATTATGAATGTTTTTCTCAAAAGGTCAACTGTGTTTGTACTAATAATGCTTGAACATACTCTTCTAGAGTTTGATTGATTAAACTTACCAGATTGCCCATCAGATGGGTCGCTTTCAGTGACCCAATTTCTGTATGTAACGTCTGAATGCAATTTAAAATTCATTCACATGCAACATAGAAATATGCATAAGGAAAATAAACGCATATCTCTCTACTGTGTTTTTAATAACATTCCTTGATATATCATGAGCATAATTATCTAAAATCCTTTTAAATACTTTTTGACAGAGGAAAGGAAAGTGTTTTCTGCTCTGTTAAGAATTATATCAATATATGATGTTGAACACTATCTCTGTCACAACATCATAAGATGACTAATTTCCAGTTTTAATATGGAACGAAAACATTTTGATATGGAACTAGTACAAACGTGGCCTTTACTTATCTCTTCTGTTTTACCACTGTGACAAATACGTGAAGATAATAAATAATATGAGGCTACTGTTAAAATATTGTGAAAGAGAGATGTACTGTGCTATTTCGCCTAGCTACTGAATCAGTCCCGCTTTTATATGTAATGTTTCGATACAAATAGTTTATAAGAATATTTTACATTCCAGTTATAAATCTTGACTTATGTGTTGATAAGTATTAAATCTACGAGGGATGTTCAAATATAAAAACAACTGGTTCAATTTTCAGAAGTGTTTAACAAACAAACAATGTTAAAATAATTATTCCCCCGACAAACAAAGTTTTAGGGGGTAGACTGGAGTCGGCGGTGGTCGGTTGGTCCGTTGCAGATTTCTTGTCCAGGAAATAACTCTGAAACTACAAAAGATACCAACTTCAAATTTTGTAGGTAGATAGATCTCATTAAGTAGAAGTGCAGTGCAAAAGAAGTGTAACTCTGCCTTGCCTTATATTGGAGTTATTCCCCTTTTTTACACTGTGAACTTTGCCCGGGACATAACTCTAAAACGACATAGTGTATTTTTACCTTGCCTAATTTAAGAGTTTTTGCCCTTTGTTCATTTTCACACTTTAAATTATGTCCGGGACATAACTCTGAAACAACAAGGGGTATAAACAAGAAACTTTGTAGGTAGATAGATGTCATAAAGTAGAAGTGCAGAGCAAAAGAAACATAACTCTACCTTGCCTTATTTTGAAATTATTGTCCTTTTTCATTTTTACATTTTGAGCTTTGTCAGGGACATAACTCTAAAACCACAAGGGGTATTAACAAGAAACCTTGTAGGTAGGTAGATCTCATTGAGTAGAAGTGCAATGCAAAAGAACCGTAACTCTGCCTTGCCTAACTTTGGAGTCATTGCCTCTTGTTTATTTTTACCATTTAAACGGGACATAACTCTAAAATCACAAGGGGTATTAACGAGAACCTTTGTAGGTCGATAGATCTCATTGAGAAGTGCAGTACAAAAGAACTGTAACTCTACTTTGCCTTGTTTAAGAGTAATTGCCCTTTGTTAAGTTTTTACATGTTTTTACTTTGTCCGGGACATAAATCTAAAACAACAAGGGGTATAAACAAGAAATGAAACTTGTAGGTAGATAGATGTAATTGAGTAGACGTGCAGTGCAAAAGAACTATAACTCTGTCTTGCCTGATTTGGAATTATTGACCTTTGTTAATTTTTACACTTTGAATTTTGTCCGCAAATAACTTGAAAACTATAAAACATTAACTTAAAACTTTGTAGATATATAATCTAACTGAGAAGAAGTGCAGTGAAGAAGAACCATAACCATCTCATCCCAATTTTTTGAGTTATTGCCCTTCGTTCTTTCTTACATTTTGAATTTTGTCCTGGACATAACTTGAGAACTATACTTGAAACTTTGTAGGTAGATAGATCTCACTGAGTAGAAGTGCAGAAATCTCAGGGAGAAAGAACGTATTGTCCTTTAAAGAAGTCAGAAAAACTTCAAATCTAAACTTTAAAATTTATCTTATTGATGTAGGACAAATAATTTAAAAACATTAAAAAATCTATAAACTACTGCATTCTACCTATACTAAAATTATTAGCCAAAAAGCATTTTTTTTTCTGACAAGCGCTTGTCTGGTGTGAGAATTCTAATTCAATCCTTCCAAAATACTTACAACCATAGGATATACAAAGTTTTAGTCTTTTAATCCAGTTTTTAAATGCATTTTCATCTTTTTGAAATATTCTAATCAAACACTTGAAAATAACCGAACCGAGAATTTTTCGCGTTTAATATTTTCTTCCAGCAAGGTGTTTTTTGAGTCCCGGAAATAGGAAAAAGTCACAAGGGGCAAGATGTGTCGAATAAAATGAGGATGAGGATGGTCGACAACCTTTTCCTGTTACAGATAATCTCAAATAATGGCCACTTTGAGTGACGAAGCAGTGTCATGCAATAACCTGACAGCACGGATACCAGGTTTTTTTTGAAATATTTCTCAAATTTATGAAGGACTTTGCCTTTGTTAAATTTGGCATTTACAGACTTATCCTTTTGTACAGCAATTTGAATAGCAGGACCTTGATTGGTAAAGAAAATTACCTACATGACCTTTTTCACGCTCATGGTGCGTTTTGCTATGCAAGGTCATTGACCTTCTTTGGTTGCCCATATTTTGATTTGTATCTTTCGCTTGGACTCATATACCCACTCCAGTGACGATATTTGCGAAAGATCGATTGTTGTATTAAGGTAACGGTTTAAACAATTGTTTGGATATTCTTACCCGAACAAGTATTTGCTCTTCTGTAAGGAGATGGGGTATCCGAGGGCACTCTTTTTTTTAAATCACGTCTGAGAATTGTCTGAGCGGCAACTACAGAGACACCAACGCATTTAGCTATATATACCTAGTTATGAATATTGCATTAGTAGCAATCGAATCCTTTACTATTTCAAACTTTTTGGCGAAGTTGCAGTTTTCGGATGGCATGGTTGAGGTGTCTCGTTTACTGAATAACACCACAGTGTGAGAGATAAAAAGGAAAGTTCATTGTTCCCATCAACACGACATATTTTATTAAATATGTCTTTCGCCTGTTTAACCAAGAATACAGTGGTTCTTGATATAGAACCGTATTTGGTCAGTGAAAGGAGACCTTTTACCAACCATTTTGTTTTAGTGTACACGAGTAGAAACGTCAAAGCTAGACTGACCTATACACATGTATTGTATCAATTGAGAGCTTACACAACCATTTATGCGATACATGTACATAGTTCGTTCAAAACGTGGTTAAAAACAAGATATTGGCTATATTTGAACACCCCTCGTCATTTTTGTCTGGAAGGAAGTAAAACGGTGTACAACTTCCAATGATCAAGAGGGTTAAAACTATCTTATAAACGGCCACGCGTCCCGGTATAATGCGTGTGTGACGTTAAATTATATATTTAGATATATTTAGTTTATACGTACATTTGACAATAACACAAGCAAATAGATGAGATAAATATCAACACTACATTGAATAAATCTTCTTTCGAAACATCTCCGTATGAATGTTAATGAATCAATCTATATTTTCATTCAACAAGGCTTCCAGAACTGAAAAAAGACATTTCTTACGGGATTATGGTTGGATCATTCCCGAACTTGTCATGTACCATTCTTAAATTTTCCTACTGTATAATTGTGTTAAGTAAAACATTCTTTTTAAATATCTCATAAATCAATCAATGGATACTTAACAAACTATAAACGTAGCATCTTTATATTAGCCTTCTATTCTTTGTAGACAATTGAGTTGTGCATATGTTTGTAAAATAGCATTTGTTTAAAAAAACATTGGTAGCACTTCGAAAATGTGAGGTACACGTGCATCTTGGTATGGTATCATGGGCATTTGAAAATTATCTTAGTTATCAAATAATTGAAGACGGAATGAAATTTGCTTCTCCTTAATATGAAACATTTTCTGCTTGCTGACAACATTTTGTATGCAAATAAAATCTATAAAATTTAGAAACATGCCTCAGAAACCTGATACAAGTATACAAGAGATGAGATGAATGATATTAGAATGTTTAATTAGAATTATATATAGATAGTTATATTTCCTGGTCATGTGAATCCATTGATCTTTTGGTGTTGAGAATGAAATACTGTAATGTGTACAATTTCTAATATACCAGTTTATGGAGAAAGCCATAGTGCATGTAAGTAAAATACAACAATATTTCATGAGCAATGATAGAAGTCTGGTGTCTGTTATGTCGACATATACCACTTTTTTTTAAAGATACTGTTTTTTTAGGTTTTGGGAAATTTTGAAGTTGTAAGAATGTAGTTTTAATAGAACCAATAACATTATTGTTTTCCGTTCATGCGAATAAGCCATACATCGTTAAAAAAAAGCCAATAATATTTTTATTATTATTTGTTTTTTTTTTCGCCTACTCGAGCTATTAATATATCCTATATTGTTAATGCATTTCAGTTACAAACTTGACACGAAGGTCACTGACTAGGAGTAAAGTATTTCCATATTTTCGCTATTTATTTATCTCATTACGTACTTTATAATCATAAGTTCTTTTGGTGATAATATTAATCAAGAAAAGAAAATGTCGCTTTTGTTTCTTTTCATGTACATGTATCCTTGTGAATTGCCTGAACCTCGAACTCTGTGCCACAACAAACTATCTGTACCATCACAACACGCTCAATCTTTTCAATTTTCTTCCACAATCAATATTTATTTCTCCTATTTTAAAGCAGTCAGACTTACCAACACATATAGGGTTTAACCGTTTTGGTGCATATAATCTGAGGGGTAAATTGTGTCTCATCATTACGAGGTTTAATTTCTTTATTTCTCAAAATTGTTTCAGCTTATAGAATTTCGCCTACCTCAATCAACTTTGCAAAACAACCTGGCACTAGTTTCTGACCATTTGAATTTTTTATTATCTCTCTATCCATTGGATGTATCAATAATTTGTAGGTACTATACATTTTAAATCTAAATGTATACTGACTAATTCTGGCTCTTATGTCTTTTCTATGGTGTCCGAAAATAACTGCCCCTTTCAGAACTGTTCAGCATCTTCAGGAAGAACAATATATCTATCCTTGGATGAAGTCCTTACTGCTTCAAACAACATTGGATACTCTGAAAAACAGCCGACCATTAAAATTGTTTTCGTATTTGCTGTTTGTTCCACTTCCAGAA